TAAAGTATCAAATAGAATTTGTGTTCAATAAAAATCTTTCAAATGTGACTGTAGCTTTTTATCCCCAAAACTTTGTATTCAAAATAAGGGTGCATCTTATACACTGGTGCATCTCATATTCCAAAAAATACGGTATATGTTAGATATAAATTGAAATCAACCAAGAGTATTATCAGCAACAATGTTACCTATTATGACCTGATGCTATTGTGAAAGGTCAGTTCATGAGTCATCAATATATGTCTGTCAGTTTTTGATGGGTTTTTTATTATTATAATCAGGAAACTGATGGGACATGTAAAATGGAACTTTCTGATCAACAAATAAAAAAATTAATTATATGACAAAAAAAGTGTTATTAATATTTTATTCTAAACATTGTTTCACAACAAAATTTCATGGTAGAAACACTAGTAAAAATAATAAATCAAATATGAAGAAAGTTTTGTGAATTTGATTAAGTATTTCTACTGTGAGAAGGAAAAATCAGGGATTTTTTTTTAAGCCTTAGAACCATACCATCAAGCAGAGTTGTCACAAAATCCTTTATCACAAGTGTATTGAAACTTAAGGTATCCAAAAGTATTGACTTAACCATTAATTAGAACATACTCTTTGTTGTTATTTTGATAATATAAATTTGAGCCAACTGTCGACAAACAATTAAGTTTTGTGTATCAGTAAATTTAGCACCTTTGTTTACTATTTTATGTAAATTTTTAAGGAGTTGGCATATATCTGCTGAAAATTTATTAAAGATGATTTTAAAATATTTAAATTTTAAACTAAATTATTTTAAGGTTGATAGAATTTTCTCAAATTAATACTTAATAACTACTTGTGCAAATTCTGGGGAGTGTACCTTGAGAATGGAATTTCTATACAGTGTGTTTTTGTTTTCAAGTAGTTGAATATTGATTTAGTAATACAAATATTATTGTATGTTAGTCAAACTTGGTGTTTTAAAGAAGGCAAATGTTTTTAGGCTGCAAAGCATCAGAAGAAAGTGGCAAAGAGGGAGCAGTTGGAGAGGCAGCAACAGGAAATGCAGAAAATTAAAGAACTTCTTATTTTACAAGACATTCTAAACAGAATTGATACTGAAGAAGTTCGAAATGATTTCTTATCAGGTTCAAATGGAGCTTTAGTGAGTAAATTAAATAACTTTGCTAATATTCATTTAGCAGTTGTTGTTTTTAAGTGAAACTGTTGCATGCAAATGATAAAACTTTTATCCATGAATGTTCGAATTAATTTAAAATAAGAATATAATTTAATCTGCTCTGTAGAAATGCTATTGTTGTGTATAAGTTATCAAAATGTACCTTCTAATATAACTAATTCAAGCTTCCTATAATAAAATATAAATTTCTTTATGAACTTCTTCACCTCTGTCTACACTGAACACAGGGGTTCAATAAAGTTTTTTCTTTTTACAATACAGCTTTTTACTGTTATTTCAGACTACTGTTAACCTGAAACAGCTAATGTTAGATTTACTACATTAGAATCATTTCATGCATAAAGCCCCATTTCTTAAACCCTTGCATTTTGTAAGCACAATATAACATGAGGAGTTGGTAAGTCAAACATATCTTAACACATACTTAGTTGTTACCTTTATCACACTTTGTTTATTTTTAAACTTTGCTTGTACTTTTACATCTGAAAAGTTGGTGATACTGAAATGGCTTGGGTGTGTTCTCTAGCCTTAATGTGGTTGTAAACTGCATGGTATGTGAAAATATTTCACACACACACAGTAGGTTTAATAATGTGATTTTGCAGAGAAATACATCAGCTTCATAATTCTTTTTTATCTGAACAAATGTCTGCCACTTGTTTTTATAAAACCTCAATTTCTTTTGGCCCAGATTTTTATTTGTTCTAGGTTTAGAACATTTTCCAGGTTTCAGAGTTTGAGGGTCAAAGGGTCCACTTATTTTAATTTAAAGGATTACAAGTCTGGAGGAAAAGGTGGAAACCCTTGTCCGAGTTCTATGAGATGCAACTTTAGAGATCACAAGTGCAGCACCATTTTGTGTCCGGTGATGATGATATCCACCATAAAGAAGTATTATGGTCTAATGATGGTATATATGTTTGAACCCAAAATGACAATTGCTTTTATATATTTATCTTTCCTAATTAAGTAAGATGAAAGCACTTTTTTTCCCTCTCGCTCTTGAAAATCCAGTGTTGTACATGTTTGGTGTGGCATGCAGGGGATGAATATTTTAACCATAGATTTAAACAGTACTTCTAAACACTGGTTCATTTCGTCTTGTGGAACAGGGTTGTCATATTAAAAGCAGCTGTTGAATGAATCTTGCAGATTCTTTTAATGATATAATTAACAGATTAATAACAAAGAAAAAATACAGGTTAATAAACAAATAACCATTAATATGTGATCTTGAAGACCAATGGTCTTTGAAACTATTTGAACAAAAGCCATTAAGTATGGGTTTATGTCTATAAATGGCTATGAGTCCGAAATTAGACTGATTATATGCAGACCAGCAGTAAGTAATGAAACCATTTTAGATAAGTATCCTTTAAAGACCTTTGTAAACATTGCAGCTAAAAATGATATTCAAACTTACATTTTAAAATCTAGGTAATGTTAACAGGGATAAATATTCTTTTACTCAGAGTGTTGTAAGGGTGGAGATGTGCATTTAGAGAGTATTTTGAGGGTCATGGATGCACATATGGGTGGTAATGGAAGCTCTCTAGGTGAGCTATTACTTTGGTTTTAAATATGAATAGTCTCTGACCACTTCTAAGCCTTTTCCTCATTTTTGAATGTTTTTTTTCCAATATGTGTATAGTTTGTCTTGATTTATACAAGAATAATGTATAGTGTTGTCTTAGTAAGTACAGGTACGGTAATAGTAGTAGTTATATAATATTAAACTTGTGTATTCTTAGTAGGTTTTGGACATACAAGAATCAAAAAGATAGATATATGTCTGAATGTGCAAAAACTATTTCTAATATGATACAAAATAGTGTGCCAAGTTGCAGCTTGGAAGATCTTTAGGTTTGAACTGCAGTAGATCACTTAACACACTGCACACTTTTGTGTGTGTGTATGTATGGATGCATTATTGTTATTGCTGTGATGGTCAACTCCCATCCATGCTGTTTGGTTATAATTAGCCACATATGCTTGCTGGTTTTACTCTCTCAGGTCAGCAGTTCTAAATTAGATGTGGCTGTGCCCAATTGTTGGTATTTCTAAGCTTACTGTTTTAAGCCCATGTGTTGCATAAGATGCCATTTAAGTTGTGTTATAGATAATACAGTGAGTGGTACATACACAAAAAAATAATGTTTATATAACCTAGAAGTGAAATAAGAAATTAAAACATCTAATTATTATTTTCAATAGTTACATATTTTTGAGTCTGTGTTGTTCATAACAGTTTGACATAAATTTCACATGTGGTGCTCCAATGGTTAAACACACAGTTCTACACATACTTAAGATAAACTTTTCCTCCTGCTTTTATCTTTGGCCTAATGTCACACAATTGATATCTTTCACAGGCAGTTTTAAGTCATTCCTTAACTTAACATTTAGGTAGTTAAATTATAATATAACTTTTCTAATAGGACCTACTACAAGAAACTTAAATTTGGCTGCTTTATTAAGCTGCCAGGAAACGTTAACTCTAGAATATTCTGCCTTTGTACAAATGTACATTTTATGAAAAACATATTTAACCAGTTTTCTATTCAGCTAAGTATTACATTGTGAATTGAATAAAAGAAAAAATAAGAAATTAACTGCTAAGGGACTTTTTAAACTTTTTTTTTGACATAAAACTAGACATAACAGGTATGACCCTTTAGTAATAACATCTATGATGTCTCGTATAATGAAGGTTAAAAGATATCTTGAAATCTTCTCATTCATGTTCCCTTTTATCATTGAATGTGATGATAACATTTATTTTCATTATAGATTTTTAAAATGTTTTTTAATTCTAAACTGTAAATATCTTTGTTTCTGCTTGGCACAAATTAAGTTATTTGTAATACAGTGTGTCAAAAGCAATTCTATTGTTTGCTGTATAAGATCTTCTTATGTTTGAAAAATAAAATAAAACTTCAAGATTTATAATCTTTATCTTGCTGCTTACAGAAACTAGCTGAAGATGATCTAAACAACCTAGATGAGCTCTTCAAGCTTGTTTCACCAGACCGGGGCTCTGAAGAGGAAGAAGTTGCTCCATTTGAGGAACAGTTAACAACATGTAGTGAACACATATTCTATCTAATTGAAGGAAGAAATAAAGAAGTTTTGGGAACAACCTGTATCCTTAACACTATGTATGTGGGTGGGGGTCAAAATGAATGTCACAAGCTTTTACATAGTTACATTAGAAACTTAATTAAACTTTTTTTTATTATCAGTGCATGTCAATAAACTTGGCATCAAAATGTGGTTTATAATTCAAGTTTTTAATTCGCAATTTCAGAAAAAAAGCTTCGATAAATTATCACTCTTCAATTCTCTGTAACACATGGCACTTTTTCTGGATTGCCTCTTTTAGATGTTCTTTTTACCCCTATATGAGATTCTGAACTTAACATAAATTATGCACTTATAGATATTGCTAATATATATAATCTAAGTTTATAGCCTCCAAGCTTCTTGCTTTAGTAAGTCAAACCCACATACTATGCCCTCCTATCTCATCCTGAATTTCAAAAAATTTTCAGTAATTCTCTGTGTTGTTTGCTGTTTGATTTTTAATAACTAATAGAAGAAGGTTTCAATTTCTGTATATACTATCTCACTTTGAATTTAATGTTTGAAGTATTCAGCATACAAATTCATTGTTGGCATTGCAAAGAAAACATCAACCAGATGAGGGTACTACGTTAACCGACTTAATTATAAAGCAAGTTAAATTGTTATTGTAATGGGGCATTATTTTCTTTTTACTTATTATTTTGTGTTCTAAATTGCATATGTGAACTAGATAAAAATTAAGCACTAACAACAACCTTATTAAAAACTAGGGCCAACTTTTATCTTCTAGACTTCAACAGCAAACATTTTGAGACCCACAGTAGCAAATTTGTTGTTTTTTAGGTGTATTTTTTATTTATTGTTATAAAAGTAATTAAGATTTTTAAAAATTAAACTTATTAGGTTAGATAAGAAAACTTAAATGGAAAAAAAAAATTTAATACTTTGTTTACCATATCTTGCACTCTTCTCTTGCAGATGATTTATTGCTTATTACACTAGGTAATAGTCATGCATGGTTCAAAGAGCAATAAAACAACATGCTTTTAATGTGTATGAGAAACTTTTAAAGTTTGCTGAAAGCTTACCACATTTCATGAAGAGACATTAAGTGAATTAAGAAGTGTGATGAACATAAATTCTCCAATATGGATTCAGTGATTCAGTCCAATGGACTGACCCCATGCTTTTAAGCCAATATAACTTGCAGATACTATTTTATAAGAAATTTTTATCCATAAACTCCAATGTTTGTAAGTTGCATTTGTGTTTTACTTCTGTTTTTATTTTACATTAGGAAGCAAAATTAACTTTGCTTCTTCCATCATCAAAAACATCAGGGTTGTAATTCCATCATAACTACATCGTACCAATGGAAACGAGATGGTGTTTCTTGAACACATTTTAAGACTTGAACGTAAGTTAATTTGACTCTTGTATGAAGTGTATTGGTTCCTTTGTTATTTGACAATCTTTTTTATGGTTTAAACTGTATCATAAAATGTATATCGTGTAAAAAATTTATTGCTTTTAGTGCTCCCTGGTAAGAGTTTTCATAAGTTTAGAAGACATATTTTCTTAAATGAATAATAATGTATTCCATGTTTGAAAACATAATAAAAACGTTTTAAGAAATTACTCGATACTGTTTAACATGGACCCAAGAGTCTTGATTTTACAGTCATGTTCGACAACAGAACTGAAAATAAATTTTCTGATCCCCATCGATAAGCCCCCCCAGTCGCACAGTGGTATGTCTGCAGACTTACAACGCTAGAAACCAGGTTTCGATACCTGTGGTGGGAGAGCACAGATAGCCCTTTGTGTAGCATTGTGCTTAATAACAACTTTCTCAAGTGACCTTTTTGAAATTATTTAATCTTGAATTATCAATGGGCTCAATCGGTTTTTAAACATAATTTCTAAATTATTTTTTACACCAAATTGTT